TTCTGGTGGTTTTAGAAAATTACATACTGTTTTACGAAACAAAAGGAAAATTTACTAGGATGTATGTTTAATCAATAACTAATTAATACAATTTAACACAACGGACTCTACAAACAGACAAGTTAGAAATCATTGCTGTGTACAACAATGTCACACACAGAAAGGCACAGAGAGGAACAGACAAAGCGCTTGCACTTCAAGAGAGCTTCTTACCACAGCTCCAACTGGTGTGAAAAGTTAGCATGACATGAGAGGCTCTACCAATTCAACCCACAGATCAATAAAATGCAGGGTTCTCTTGAGAAAGGTACAGTGAAAACTCCCATAAGGCTGTTTTTCCAGTGCCCCTTTCACAGACCTCAGCAGCAGTCACAAAGGCTGAAATAACACTCTGGGGAGAATTATGTTAGCATTGCAGAAATTCCAGATGCCTTTACAGCATTTTAAAAAGACCTATGAATTACTGTGATACAAAGGGATTCAATCCAATGTAAGGCTTAAGAATTCATCAAGAGGAAAAAAAGGTCCATAAGTTAACTTCTAACAGAGGAGCATTTAGGGACTATCCCACATACTAAAAAATGTTACCAACAACACTATCCAAATCAAAAGTGATTTTCTTCTCTGGCACCATTTATCTGCTGCAAAGTTTAAAATTTTTGAAGACTTGTAATGATCAAGCTTTCAAGACAGCTTTGTGCTTAAACCATAGCAAATCTATTTTAGGAACTTAGAATCAGCTTTACAATCACACTTAAAAGAAAAATACCATCCTCAAAGACAGCAAGACAAAACTCAAGCTAAATATTGCTGTGGTGGAAAAAGGATAAGCAAATATATACCCAGTTGAAACAAAAACACAGAATCACAGAATATTCTGAGTTGGAAGAGACCCATAAGGATCATGAAGTCCATCTCTTAAGTGAATGGCCCTTACGGGGATCAAACCCACAACCTTGGTGGATTTCTGATGCAAGTACTAAAATTTGATGTACTCAAATTTTCAGATTCACAGATCTATAGAAACACTGTTTTAAGGGGATTAATTAGAAAAAAAGCCAACTAAGCTGTGTCTGTGATATCTTCAGTGCATTAATCTTTCTAAAATGTATGCTGCACACCATATTTAGCAATGATTCACATGCAAACTATTCTTTTTACCCATATCTAGAGCAGCTAGGAGACTAGGAGTGTAGACTCCTTATAATCCATTAGTCTAACAAGCGAATGAAAAGGTCTAAACTCTACCCCAAATCCAAGCAGACCATCAAACCTGTCCATGTAGGACAGAGAGCAGCTTTGCAGGTCTGGACACTTCAGTTTCTTAGCCCTTTTACACTACACCAAGGATGGGCAGCAAGCCTGTTGCAAAATCCAAAATGGTATTTCCAAACCATTAGAGCGAGTTCATAATGATGCTACACGCAGGCTCACATCCTGAAAATTACAGGATGGAAAAAAAGTTTGTGGAGTTAAGTACATGACATAAATTAAATTAAAAATTACAGTGCTGCTAAATGTAACTAAAATTCAGGGTTTAGCTGTAGATTAAAAATTAATTTAACTATTTGTTTTAGTTTAGTTTTAAAATTTAGATTAGTTAAAACTCCAGTTTTAACTTAAAAAATCAATTTTTACTTTTAATTTAGCTAAAATATCAGTTCAAATTTACTGTTAACCACTGTAAAACTACCTCCCAAGTCAGACACCAAAATTTTCCCGTGCAATGAAAACTACAACAGTTTTTGTAGTGTATTATACATACAAATAAGGCAGGTGAAGATTTGGACAAGCTTTATTCTTCTCTCACATCACAACTTATTTCAGATAAACTGAGTCTGCTCTCCCACAGAATTGCAAAGTGAGTGGGAACATCTGGAACAGTTCAATGCTTTTAAAAATTATTATTTAATAAAGTATGCAAAAAGGATTTCTTCCCCTCTCCTTTGTCTGCAGATGCACTGTAGTATGATTTATGATACTGTACTTTGGACCATCTCCAAATATTTATTTTTAATAGAGGAAAGATCTCTGAAGATATTCCAGACATCTGTAATCAGATGCTTAGCCACCTTGATTTTATTTTTTTAATGCTTTGTTTAATGCACAATTCTTTACTGAGCTGATAAGCTATATAAACTCCATGCAAAATGTAAGGCTGTATGAATTGTGTATCTGTGTTGTCCCTACAATATTAGGTGACCTAGACATGTTTTAAGATAATAATTTCAAACACAATAACTTATGCATGAAGAAGAATTAGAATGAGCTGAAAGCAACATATATTTCAACCTTATGAAAAATACAGTCCCTCCCTCCTTCATGCTGGCCAATTCAGACAGAAATGCATCTCTTGGTCACAGAAATTGAAATAGGCTGCCTCAAATCTTGAATGACTGTGTTCTCCTGCATTCTGCTTTAGCTTGATCACATAATTCCTCAACTGCATCTAACATTTTTCTAAAGATGCAAATTGTAACATTTTAACAGTGACAAGGTGAGACACGGGTGACAGCAATGGTAGGTTTTAATGAAAATGGGTAAAAACCTTTCTGTTTTCTAAATTTATTAACAGATTCTTGCTTTTACAGTTTTCTAGGTGGAAGCAAAACATTGGTTTAGCTTTCCTTCACTACCCAATAAGCATAAACCTTGCAGTAAAAGATGGCTGGTTTGAGAAAGTAAGTCTTACAAATATCTTTAACAGTAGACTGAGTCATGTGTTATTAGGCATGAAAGAATATACAGAGAGTGAAATAAAGGGGGAACATAAGGCTGCAGATAAAAGCTTATGTACACATCAAAATTTCTTCATGCTACAAACTTCCTGTCATTTAAAATTAAACACTATTGCAGCACTGTGTTATTAGTAAACAGCAACTCCACTGACTACCAGAAACTCACCTCTGCATAACTCAGCTCACATAAAAGATAAAAATTGGAGAAATCTTAACATACAGTGCAGTGATTCACATGTACCACTGAAGGAAAAAAGCAGTCACCAGCCACTGTTTTACATGGTTCATAAAGATACCTCCTAGGAAAAGAAATTCAACAACCACTGTCTGCTTCTTCCTATTTTCAAAAACACTGACCAGTTAACCCAAGACATCATTTTAGACAGAAGCCAAAACTCTACTGCATGGGCAGTCAGTAGTTTGTGCCATGTTGGCCTATGCTAAGGGAATATGTGTATAAAAACATCTAAGAAGAAGCATGAAAGGAGAGGTAGCTGCCTATCTGTCAATCAGTGCAGAATCATATGAGCAGAGGCAAGAATGCACCATAATGTACATCCCAGCTGACACACACACACAGTTCATTCTTAAGCTTATTCTTCCAGCTTCGTGGGGCACTGGAAACATGCACATGCCTTTTAAGGCATACATTTTCTGCATGTTCATGAAGGAGACCAGATAACTCCACCATCCTCTTGGAATTCAGCCTCAAATTAGGCACATGCATACCACGCATTCTGTCAATCTCATTCACCTCCAGCACTGTTCACTCCCACTCATTCAGAATATCTCATTTGTCCATTCAACCTCACTCAGACCATTCAGTCCTGATTTGCCAACTCCCTCCATCACAGGCAAATTCATTCTCTTAATATACTTGTTAGGTCAAGGACTGTTTAAGTCACGGGGTATAGAGCTTCCCCTAAAACCTGACTGTGTAAGATCAGCCATTGTGAGCAACTGCTGTTTTGGCTATGCTTTATTCATGGCTATTTCTTCATCACCATAGCAGCCAGCATTTCTTTGTGCTATCAGTTACAGTTCCTGTGCCGCAGTAGTTTAAATAGCTAATTAACTGCCTGCTTATCTTAACTCTATAAAATTCTATGAGGCTACTCCAAGGTAAGATAAACCACATCCAACACATTCAGGATTATGGCCACTCCTCCCAGCTTTATGTCATCAGCAAACTTGCTGAGGAGGCACTCTACCCCTTCATCCAAGTCATCAGTAAATTAAACAAGACTAGACTCAGTACTTGATCCCTGAGCTACAGGCATCCAACTAGACTGTGCCAATGATCACAACCTGCTGAGACCTGACTTGCAGCCAGTTCTCAATCCAGTTACTCAGATCAATGGTGTATCAAGGGAAAAACACTCCAGTGTTCCTAATTCTTAACATTCTTTCAGTTAAATTGCTTTTTCCCCTTGTTGCATTGTGCACGCCATGCACAAATAATTCTGTTATATATCAATGGGGCAAGTCTAGATATGTAAATAAATACATTCTACAGCATTTGGAAAATCAGCGTGTGCTGGTGAACTCCTAGTCTCAAGCAGAGGTGACAGCACGCCACATATGTGTTGTTTTAGCTTTGGAACCATGAGCAGGTTTAAAATCAAACTCTTGCTAGTCTGAACTGAATGTTACTTGCAGAAGTCAGAAACAGAACATTTTAGCACTTGACATAAAGACAAACTTTAAAAAATTATTATTATTGTGCTAAAACTACACAAAGTAATTAATTTTTTTTAAATATTGTTTAAGGGCTGTTCTTATGTTACTTCCTGACTACTAATTCTCTAAAACAAATCCTCTTCCAGAACATGCCCCAAGGACACTGGTCTTTATTTACTTGACTTTAAAAATGGAAGTGACTCCTACTTCCTTTGGGAGATGACCAAAATTTTTGAGAAAAATTCAAATATCTCTTTTAGCTTCATATATTTAAACACACAACTGTAAAAGGTGGCTTATTCTGAGCGACCTTTTTATCCCCTTCACTAGATTTACTGTATTTAAGGAGAAGAGTTCTCTCCTGTTGAAAAAAATCTCAATTCGTCCATCAGTCAATAATTTGAAAAGATTCAAGAGAATTACAAACTAATCAATATCACAAAATGCATATCATTTATTAAAAATAAGCAGTGAAGCATCTCTCATATATTCATCATGGATTTCTGGACTTCTTTAGTCTTCAGTTACCCTCCTAAACAGAAAATTGTGATTTCTCCTTCTTTACAAGCATCCCATCCTTAATCACGTGCGGCCTGCACATTAAAAGAAACCACACACTAGTCAGGCACATGCATCGTTGAATGGTTTAGCATATCCTACAGGGCTTGAGCTGAAGCAGCTCATTTGTGTTCAGTGAGGCCACGGGCACATCTTCTGTCATGTCAGCTCCTCAAATCACGGAGACACAAACTATTCTTTCATTGCACCATGACTGGAGACAGGAAGAGGGAGAAGAGGAAGATGGAAGGGGAGGAAGGAAGGTAAGGGGAAATGTCCTGCCAGAGGAATTGGACCACATAGACTCTTCAAACACGACAGTAAGACCAGCAAGAGCTTGTTTGTCATAAATTTTAGCTACATCATTAATAACAGGTTTCAGTGAACTTAGCCAGAGGCAGACTACTCATCCTTTTGCAAAGCTGCTAGTTCTAGTAGCATCACTTAGGCAATATATTCAGCAAGTGTTGCATTATTTAATTCCACCAATTCATTTCTGCAGTCATTTCAGAACCAGAGATTACAAGCAAGCACTGGGGCGTGTGAATTTTTAAACAGAAAAAGGTTTCAGAAAGAGCATGTTTTAAAATACTTTACTGGAAAATATTACATTATTTATAGAAATATTGCATAAAAAATTTAATGCCAGCAGCATTGCACTAAACTTGAACATAAAGTTGTTGGAGCTTTTTCTCCTACTTTAAATGGAAATAATGAAAAAAATATAATAATGAAAAAAAATAAACTATAGATGCCTTCAAAAAATGTCTCAATGTACAAATTCTGCTCCCTTAAATTTACAGCAGCAAAAAATCCCAACTGATGATCCATAACAGGTAAGAACTTGCTGAACAGTACTTTTTTCAAGAAAAAACCAAGTACCCACAAAACTCACTTATCTTACATCAATTTGATTCCATAATATCTTGGATTGTTACGTAAAGAGGATATCAGAAATAATCCCTTGATAATCATCCTCAAAGTTTTAAGTCATGACCTGAGGGTCCTGTTGTACCATATCATGAACACACAGGTGCTAGAAAAAGCATTATGTTCAGAAAGTATTACAGCTTACCATGCTGGGAGTGATTCCTGTTTGTGACCGCTAATTTCTCATGGCCTACAGGACTAATCTCAAACTCTTGCACATTTACATCAAGGCTGGCAAAGCCATTTACTTGATTTCCATCGCTGGTGACAGTGTTAATGCGGGTTGGGATAGGTTCAAATGTAGGGTCTAACTCCAAGATGAGCCTGTTCAGTTGTTCAATGGACTGATCAATATCCAAAGTTGGAGAAGCTGGCAAGTCCCCAGCGTTCTGTCCTAGATTCAGGCCATTTGTGTTCCTCTGAAGCACTAGCCTTGACTTAAAACTCTCAGCACTTGCATGTTCCTCAGCTTCTGCAGCCCCCAGCATACTTCCTAGTCCTCTCTGCACAGCATCTCTGCTGCTGGAGCCACGTGTTGGCGTGTTTGGGACTCGAGATTGGCTCTGGACATTGCCCAAATTCTCCACAGCGTTATGAATGCCAACCCTAATTTCATTCTCTGGGGCAAAACCATATTGGTGAGCAGTGACCATCTGCTGCTGGCGCACCCAGGTCTGAGTAGAGTAGTTACTTGGGCCATAGGCTTGAGGACGGGCTGAGTCAGAAGGATTCTGTTGCAATTGCTGAGTTGACTTTGGCTCAGTTCTTGCAAATGATCTCTCATAGAGGAGATCCACACCAATTCCCAGGTCTGCAGCAAAAGCATTATGATGCTCTTCCCCAGCATTACTTCCAAAGCCATCTGAAAGCAGTGAGTTCTGACTGCTCTTGTGACAACTAAAGTTTCCTAGGTGGGTGGAGTGCTGCCCTTCTGAGGAAGACAAAGTTCCAATGCTGTCCACACTGTGAAGGTCATGATTAGGCATTTCGTCATCCAGAATATCAGTCTCCCTGTCCTTCACTTTGGTGACTCCATTCATGTGAACTTGAGCTGGCACTATGTGGTGAGTCCCACTGTACTTGCTTTGAGCATCAGTCATATCCTTGGTGGTGTTCACAGAATCCTCCAGACCAAAGCCATTAAGGAGCTGGTCCAGTTCTGCCTTCTCTTGTGGGCTCAGACCACATTTGACTCCTGGCATACGGTGTTCCTCAGTCTTGTCTGTCCTGATGGAAGCTGTGGAGTGTCCTGAATCACTACCAACAGACAGGGTATGATCACTGTGATCAGGACTGCCAGTCACAGGAGCACCCTGAGCAACACCAGGGATGTTGCTGTCTGAAGAGCTCTTCTTTCTCACTTTTGCATAGAGACTGCCATCAATGGGACCTTGGGTATGCAGCACTGTGGAGAGATAAGTGAAAAGAAAGGGAGACATAAGGAGAAGGTATGATATAAGGATTTTGACTGGTGTCATACCACAATGAAGTATTGCTAACACTAATGGTATTGTTTACTCTACAACTACAGCAAACCACCAATGGCATTATCTTCTTTCATTTTACATTTCAATTTATAACAGTTTTCTAGACTAAAATACATGCCATTTATAGAGCAAGATCAAATATAATTCACTCTTTTTATGCTGTTTTGAATGCATATTTATAGCTCCACAAACTCTTCATCTATGTTTGAAGAATCACGCTATTACAGCACTAGAAATTTGAGAGGTAGCTACTATGCATTCCATTCAGAGCAAGAACAGTAGGAACCTACCAGCAATTCTTGCCTTCAGTATACGTATTATATTAGTTCATGCTATTTGACAGTCTAACTACACTATGAAGAATCATTTTCTCCCTTTCTTGGTGGTGCAAGGACAAAACAAGCTTTCAATCAGAGTTGCAGTCCTTGGAATATATATAAGGCCTCTTCACAAAGGATGCACAAGTAAATATTAGAGTATGAAATTTCCACACGTGTGGAGGATCTAGTATGCGTTGCATGGTTTTCTTTCAAAAAAGGACTAATGAACTCAAGTAGATGGCTCCACTGAAGCAACTATATTGACTTTGATGCCAGAACTGTTATTGGTATCTGTAAACCCTGCTGCTTTTTGCTATCTCAAGACATGCATCCTGTATTTTTATTCTGATCTACTGATTTTCTTTCATGTTGCAGCCATCATTATTTCTGTTCAATAACTAACAAAAAATGAATATAAAACATGCAGCAGAAAGTCAAGAGAATCAAAGTTAAAGATTCAAATCTCAGCCTCAGAATTGTCTCCTACATACATGTTTTATCACACATGTAACATTTTAGATATTATGCTTTATTGCAAATAGAAATCACATAAAATATATACTCGACAATAACAGACTTTTTCATGCTGTGATTTCTCATAAGCTGTGACTTCTAGGACAATGAAGCACACTTGGCACTTCATGTGGAAGTATTGAGTAACTATTAGGTGATGCTTTTCTGTTTGCTTAGTTTTGAGTTTAAAAACTAGAAAAGAAACCAATTAAAAACCTGCTTTGTTTGGAGTAGTTGAATATCCTGACACAACACAGACTTGAAGAGGTTACAGATCTGAACTGGAACACAGTTAAGTAAATACCGAACTTGTATATTTGAACTATTACAAAGTCTTCCTGTCTGACTTTTCTCCTACGCACAGTGCTGTAAACCCTTCAGACATGCCAGTCAGTCATAAACACTTCACACCAGATCAAACATTCTAGCATGCACATTTAATTCTCCTTGCAGAAATGTTAAGTACAAAAAACCTGTCAAATTCTTAAGTACAGCTATGGAAGCAATGGAAAACCTTTGTGTATTTCCCTCTGTTAGCCTTCCCTGTACCATCACACAGTACCATCCAAGCACAGTAACAGCAGTACAAACAAGAAGACGGACAGACTGACAGTGGACTACTGACCTGAGTGTCTTCCACATGTGCACTCTGTAAGATTCAGAGAAAACCCTGTCCAGTACTTCAACCCCTTCCAGTACTTCAACCCTAATACAAAATTATCAAATTTATTCTGCATGTTGCCTGGAACACTAAGCAACCACAAACTATTTGGGGGTCTTCCGACTGTGAACTGTACAGCTTCCATTCTGAAGAAGAGATGCGAGTTCATCTTATTAAAAACTCATTTAGGAAAAATAAAAAAGAGCAAAAACCACAAACAGAAAATGGAATACAAAGAAACCTACAGCCACATAATTGGATTATAAATATCAAGAATTATTCATCCCCCCTCTTTATGTTTCCACTTAAAACAAAGAAAGTTTTTTTTAGAAAGCTAGGGTTTTTTCTCTTCAATCTGTATAGTAATGTTACACACAAACTGGAAAATGTACAAAAATAATTCTCAATTTTTTTTTTTTTTTTTTTTTTTAATGGGGTTAAGAATTAGCCCCATTGGGTATAAATATGAACACAGCTTTCAGAGGATAGGGGCTTAGTTGCTTACGCTCATAGTTTGCTGTTTACCTATGAAGTATGCAAACTAAAGAGGCGCTGTGCAGGACACCGTGCCGGCCCGGGGGCTTCGCGCGGGCGGGAAACTTCCGCGCTGCGCGCACGGAGCTCCGCGCCTGGCCGGTGGCCCTGAACACGCCATGCGGGACCCCGCTAGGCTCGGGGGCTGCTGCAGGCGCTGTGCAGGACACCGCGCCGGCCCGGGGGCTTCGCGCCGCGCGCGCTCTGCGCGCGCGGTTTTGGGCCCCAGGCAAGGCCGCGGCAGGAGAAAGGAGAGAGAGGGGGAGCCTTGCCAGCGAGCACTGCACCCCCGTGGAAGATGAGAGCACAGCTTCGGAGCACACAGAGGTTTGCCGTTCCAGGTTTGGGGAGGGAGGGAGAGGGGGAGGGGGACGGAGCAGAGGGATGGGTGTTGAGCTGGCCATGGGGGTCCTTCGACTGGCGGGTGGGAGAGCAGGGCTGTCCCGTATGAAACATCACATCACATGTGAGCAGTGCACCTGGAATTTGTGGTAACACAGTGGGGGAAGGATAAGGTCTGGGTGGACAGAGGGTTCTTTTGATTGATGGGGGTCCCGGCCAGGCTGGGGCCTTGTAAGGTACCTCAGCCTTGGACAGGTACGGGGGCCAGAACGGTTGGTCGGTTGGTTTGTCTGTTTGTCTATTTATTTCTTTCGTTTTGGCTCTCCTGCGGCTACTGCCCAGGTTTGGCATGTTCTGGATATATTTGCTTTGCTCTGTTACAACCTGAAAGAGTGGGCAGGACAAAGGGTTGTTACTGGAAATAAAAGACTTGCCCAAATCGTTCTAACAGGAACGTAGCCTATGTACCCCTGTGTGGTTGCGAGCTATGCTGGCGAGGGTTCATGCCTTCGGTAGGGTCGCCCATGCCAGACAGGTCGAAACCATAGGACCAGATAAACTACATCCCTGGGCAGGATGAGCTCATTAGCCTTCTGGCAGTCATCCTAGGAGAAGGACAACTCTCATCCCAAACCCGGGCAGATGGAGCTCGCTTAGCCCTGGAAGGCCATCCATCTCAGAGAAGGTCACTCTAATCAAACCTACGTCCTGAGGACCTCGCTGCCACCGTCCAAGCTTGCTCGGCCCTGGCAGATGAACCTCAGGATTAAAGGGTGGGTTCAGTTCCGCGCATACTGCATCTCACCTAAAAAATCCATTGCGCAGGCTTGAAGGCTTTACCCACATGCAAAAAGTCCTGTAGCGACGGGCGAGGGTCGAAACGGTAGGTGAAAGATGCACTGGGAGCCGCAGACTCAACCCTGCATGCAGGCGGTTCAGGATATTGGTCATTTGAGACTGACGGAGATGAGAGTCTCTTGGGGCAGCACCCTGAACGACCAAGCAGCCTTTTCAAGGACAGCACTGCTTGCTCCACTCGGAGAGGGGCCTAGAAAAGGTGGCCTAAACAAAGCTCATCTCCACCTTCACCCGGTTGGTTAACCGCAGACCGACGGGCATCTTCTTCCAATGCGGTCGCACAAAGAGCAAAAGACAAAGGCATGCACCTGCCTCCAAAGGTGTACTCAAATTAACTCTAGCATGTTGGAACATCAGAACCATGCTCGATTCTGCCAATAGTGGACGTCCTGAGCGACGTTCTGCCCTAATTGCCCATGAACTGGCTCGTCTCAACATCGACATTGCTGCTCTCAGTGAAGTTCGCCTTCACGAGGAAGGCAGCCTCAGAGAACATGGTGCCGGTTACACACTCTTCTGGTCAGGTAAGCCCAGAACCGAAAAACATCTCTCAGGTGTCGGCTTCATGATCAAAAACTCCATTGTCCCTAAACTCGAAAATCTGCCGACAGGTCACTCTGACCGCATTATCTCCCTACGCCTTCCACTAAACAACAAGCAACACGTTGTCATCTTCAGTATATATGCCCCAACTCTCCAAGCTGACCCTGCTGAAAAAGATAAATTTTACACTGACCCGCGCTGTCTTACCCAAAAGGTGCCCGCAGATGATAAGATCATTATCCTTGGTGATTTCAACGCCAGAGTAGGTAAGAATTTTGAAGCCTGGAAAGGAGTATTAGGCAAGCATGGTGTTGGAAACTGCAACGATAATGGTCGACTTCTGCTAGAATTCTGTGCGGAGCAACAGTTCACCATCACCAATACTATCTTTCAGCAGAAAAATAGTCTGAAGACAACCTGGATGCACCCCAGGTCTAAGCATTGGCACCTCACTGATTATGTCTTGGTGCGACAGAGAGATGTCCGCGATGTCCTCCATACCCGCGTGATGCCCAGCGCAGAATGTCAAACAGACCATCGGCTTGTGCGCTGTAAACTCAACCTTTATCTCAAATTCAAACCCAAGAGGGGCAGTATCCCAAGGAGAAGACTCCAAGTTAACGATCTCCAATCAGCCACAGTAAGAGAAAGATTCCAGGCAAACCTTCAAACTAAGCTTGATAACCATTCCACAGATTCTGCAGTTTCCTCTCCCGAAACAATTTGGCAGCATATTAAAAGTAGCATCCTGCAATCCTCTGAAGAATCCTTAGGGTTCTCCCTCAAGAAGAACAAGGACTGGTTTGATGAAAATAATCAAGAAATCCAGGAATTGTTGAGGAAGAAGAGAACCGCCCACCAAGCACACCTTGCACTGCCTTCCTGTCACGCTAGAAAAACAGCCTTTCGTCTTGCTTGCAGCAAGCTCCAACAGAAACTCCGTGACATCCAGAACAAATGGTGGACCGATCTAGCTGCAAAAACTCAACTATGTGCAGATACAGGGGATCACAAAGGATTCTATGAGGCCCTGAAAACAGCATACGGGCCTACATACCAAGTCCAAAGCCCACTACTCAGTGCAGATGGTCAAACGCTTCTGACAGATCAAACCTCCATTCTGAATAGATGGTCTGAACACTTTCAG